CTTCTCTGGACTTGTGCATGTCAATTCCCAATTACATGGATTTGCCAGTTTCTCTCTTTTTTTTTTAGGGGCTTGTAATCTCTTGCTACCTCTGGTGTCTGTCCGCAGTACTGCAGGTTTTCTGGAGCTGCTGGAAGCCGTTCAAGTCACTTTTATTCTCAGTGGTCCCCAGGTTTGCAGAGGGTGCTGCATCCTGTCCGTACTCTGTGTTCGGCAAGACAGAAACCATCTCTTTGGGTAGCCCCACAAAAGCCAGAATGTTGGATGCACGCTCCACTCTTTTCTTGCCCCACGATGGACAGGCTGCCAAGCTGTGCTGGCCTGTCTGTGGTACCGTGGGCCCTTTGGAGCAGAGGCAAGAAGTCCGGCTCACTTTTGTTCTCAGTGTCCCCCTGGCAACTAGACTGTGCCGGGTCCCATCAGTGCTCTGAAATAGGCAAGATGGAAACCAGTCCTGCTCAGCCAGCATGGCTCAGTGGTTGAGCATCAAGCTATGAACCAGGAGGTCATGGTTTGATTCCCTGTCAGGGCACATGCCTGGGTATTGAGCTCGATCCCCAGTGTGGGGCATACTGGAGGCAGCCGATCAATGATTCTCACTCATCATTGATGTTTCTATCTCTTTCCCCCCTGCTTCCTCTCTGAAATTTTATATATATATATTTTATTTATTTTTTACAAGAGAGGAAGGGAAAGTGATAGAGAGTTAGAAATATCAATGCGAGAGAAACATCGATCAGCTGCCTCCTGTACACTCCCTCCAAAAAAACTGGTAATACAGGCATACCGTGGAGATATTGTGGGTTTGGTTCCAGACCACCACAACAAAGCTAATATTACAATGAAGCAAGTCACAATTTTTTTATTTCCCAGTGCATGTAAATGTTCTGTTTACAATATACTGTAGACTAGTGTCTTAAAACAATAGCATCATGTCTTAATACATCATAAATACCTTAATTAAAAAACACTTTATTGCTAAAAAATGCTAACCATCATCTGGGCCTTCAGTGAGTCACCATCCTTTTGCTGGTGGAGGGTCTCGCCAGGATGTTGAGGTCTGCTGACTGAGCAGGGTGGTGGTTTCTGAAGGTGGCCACATCAGTGGGCCCTGCCTTCCACGGCTGCTTTCTCTGTAGCATGTGATGCTGTTTGACAGCATTTTACCCACAGTAGAAATTCTTTCTCAATTGGAATCAGTCCCCTCATAACCTGCTGCTGCTTTCTCAACTGAGTTCATGCAGTAGTTTAAATTCTTTGTTGTCATCTCAGCCATCTTCACAGCATCTTCATCATCAATTTTTTCTGTCTCAAGAAACCACTCTTTGATCACCCATAAGAAGCAACTTCTCATCCATTCACGTTTGGTCATGAGATGTAGCAATTCAGTCACCTCTTCTAATTCTAGTTCTTTTGCTATTTCCACCACATCTGCAGTGACTTCCTCCCCTGAAGTCTCCCTTCAAAGTCGTCCATGTGGGTTGGAATCAATTTCTTCCAAATTCCTATTAACGTTGATATTTTGACCTCTTCTCATGGGCCACAAATAAATATTCTTAATGGCATCTAGAATGGTGGATCCTTTCCAAAGCTTTAATTTACTTTCCTCAGATCCAACAGAGGAATCAATATCTATGGCAGCAAAAGCCTTACGAAATCTATTTCTTAAATAATAAGGCTTGGATGTGGACATTACATCCATGGGCTGCAGAATGGATGTTGTGTTAGAAGACATGAAAACAACATTCATCTCACTGTACATGTCCATCAGAGCTTTTGTGTGACCCGGTATATTGCCAATGAGCAGTAATCTTTTGAAAGGATTTTGTGTTTTTGAGCAGCAGGTCTCACCGGTGGGCTTAAAAGATTCTTTAAACCATGTTGTAAACAGATGTGCTATAATTGAGGCTTTGCTGTTCCATTTATAGAGCACAGGCAGAGTAGATTTCGCATAATTCTTAACGGCCCTAGGATTTTCGGAATGGTAAATGAACAGTGGCTTCAACTTAGAGTCACCAGTTGCATTTAACCCCTAACAAGAGAGTCAGCAGGTTCCTTGAAGCTTTGAAGCCAGCCATTAGCCATTGACTAATTCTCTCTAGTTATGAAAGTTCTAGATGGCATCTTTTTCAAATAGGAAGCTGTTTTGTCCACATTGAAAATCCGTTGTTTACTGTAACCACCTTCATTAATTATCTTAGCAGGGTCTTCTAGCTAATTTTCTGTGGCTTCTGTATCGTCGTTATTTGACGTCACCTTGCACTTTCATGTTGTGGAGACAGCTTCTTTCCTTATTCCTCATGAACCAAAATAGCTTCACAATTTTCTCCTGCAGCTTCCTTACCTCTCTCAGTGTTCAT